AGAACAATGACACCCAGCCCGTGAAGGTGCTCAATGGGAGAATCTGGTTTGTGAGACACCCAGAGGGGAGGGGGGGGGGGAAAGGGTCCCAGGGGACTGGAAATGACCTAGGCCAGAGTTGGCATCATACCGGGCAGGGCCAGGAATGTCACCTCTAATGAATCCTTTGAAGCTTTTTGAAGTTTGGCTTGAGAATCATTTAATTGGGGCGATTGCTGGAATCCTAACAGTGAATCAGTGGGGCAGCTGGGTTCACTTAACAGCCAGGTTACCAACTTACCAACGGCAGCGTTTCACTTAACAACGGAGGCAAGAAAGGTGGCAAACAGTCACTGAACAAGTGCTTGACTTTGCAGCAGAAACGGGGGGCTCAGTTGTGGCCGTAACACGGGGACCATCTGTATTATAAGAATTTCTTTGTAGGTCCAGTGTCAGCCTCTACTGGGTGCTGGAGAGTCAGCGAACAAACCACTTTACTCACAGGCTTGTAGGTGAATTTCAAAGGTTTCACAGGACCCGGAAATTGAAATGTGGGGGTACACAGGTAGTCTGCAAGTTATGACCGTAATTGAGCCTGTCATTAATTGGGTCGTTAGGTGGCCCTGCCTGATTTTAATGCCTTTATGTCGTACAGGTTACTTGTCATGTAACAAGTACGTACTCACAGTCATTAAAGCAAACCCATTCTCCGCTATTGGATGGGAGTTTTTTCCCCCTGAAAATCAGAAGTAAATTTCACTTTCTGGGAGGGGAAACGTTATAAATGATGGCCAGTGTGATTTTTAAATACTGCAAATGTCCATAAATGTCCATCAGAACTTCAAAACTGGGTCATAAATATCTTTCTCTCCAATGGTCGGTAAGCAACCAGTCATAAGTTGAGGATTTCCTATACAGGTAGTCTTCGACTTACGAACCACAATTGAGCCCAAAATGTTAAGTGAATTTGCCCCGATTTACGACCTTTCTTGCCACGGTTGTTAGGTGAATCATTGCATTTGTTAAGTTAGTCACCCCGTTGTTAAGTGAATCTGGCTTCCCCCATTGACTTGGCTTGTCAGAAGGTCGCGAAAGGGGATCACTTGACTCCCCGGGGGATGCTGCGACCGTTGTAAATGTGAGTAGGTTATCCAGCATCGGAATGTAAGCCCATGTGACCATGTGAGATGCTGCAACAGTTGTTAAGCATGAAAAATGGTCATAGGTGACTTTTCGGTGCTGTTATAAGCGTCGTGGTCCGTCGGCGGCCTGCGGAGCTGGCAGCCGAGTCAGACAATGGGAAGGAACACAGCCCAGTCCTGGAGTCTGGGGAGAACTTGGTTGAAGGATGGGGCCAGGGCCACCTGGAAGTTATGTCCTGACTTTGGAGTCTCCAGAATCTGACATCAAGTGAGGCAGAGGAACAGAGGGAGCCTGTTCCCAGTTTGCGCTTGCGCAGAGCTGCCCGAAGGCAAGAACCGTGAAGACAAAAGGGGCGACTCAGGAGTAAGTCTTGGAGATGATTGGCCCCTCCCATAAGACTTAAAGGAGAAGCAAAGGGACGTGAGCCTTTGCAGGAAGCAACTTCGTTCGTTCTGGTCGGTTTAAATTCTGAAGTTCCACGTGGACTTTGTGCTCTGTTTGGCCTTCAACAACTAATGGCCAATTTAGTCATTGGCAGCATTTCCAGGAAGATAAAGCTGGGTGCTTATCAGCCTTATCCCAAAGGACCTTGGCAGAACTCCCGTTGGACTCTTCACAAACTCTGTGGGACTCATTATGGGCTGTGAATGCATATAATTCACAGCCGTTGAAATAAAAACAAGTTTTTGGGGGAACAGCATGTGATTGTTACTGTCTCAGGAAGCCTTGGTCAGAACAGTAACCTTGGTTGCTAAATGAATCGTAAGTCAAGCACCACCTGTACAGTATAATAGAATAGTTTTACATCTGGTGGGTGGTATATAGGAGAAATATTCAAATGCTTATGTAAATTGTAGCCTCCCTGGAAAAATTGGTTTTTAGGAAATTATTTCTTTGTCTTCTGTTTACGTCTTACTTATTCTGTTTTGTGGTTTGTATAGTTGTTCCTTGACTTAAAAACATTGGTTTGGGGACTGTTCGAATTTACAACGCCACTGAAAAAAGTTTTTTCACGCTTAACGACCGATTGCAGCATCCCCACAGTTACACGATCAAAATTCAGCCACTTGGCAACCGTCACATGTTCACGACGGTCGCAGCGTCCCGGGGTCACATAATTTCCTTTTGCAACCAGCAAAAGCCCATGGGGAAGCCACATTCACTTTACAACCATGTTGCTAACTGCAGCGATTCACTTAATGACTGTTGTAAAAGCGGGGGAAGGTTTTCACTTAGCGACAAAAATTTTGGACTCAGTTGCATTCATTTTTACAGCATAGGCGTTCAAACTTGGCAAGTTCAAGACTTTGTGGACTTCAACTCCCAGAATTCCTGAGCTAACATGACTGGAGGAGGAATTCTGGGAGTTGAAGTCCACAAGTCTTAAAGCTATCAAGTTTCAAGACCCCTGGAATAGATAAAGAGAAAGAGCTATAGAAGAGAGAGAGAGAAAGATAGAATAGATAGAATAAAAAGTGGTAGAATAGATAGATATAGAATAGATAGGATAGGATAGGATAGGATAGGATAGGATAGGATAGGATAGGATAGGATAGGATAGGATAGGATAGATAGATAGATAGATAGATAGATAGATAGATAGATAGATAGATAGATAGAATAGAGCAAGGGTCTTCAAACTTGGCAACTTTTAAGACTTGTGGACTTCAACTCCCAGGATTCCCGAGCTAACATGACTGGAGGAGGAATTCTGGGAGTTGAGGTCCACAAATCTTAAAGCTATCAAGTTTCAAGACCCCAGATTTACAAGGTTAACTGTAAAAGTTAGACCTGATCCAGCCTTGATTTTTTTTTAGCAACATAGCTTAAGGCAGGGTTCCCCAACCTCAACCCCCCCAGGCTGTAGCCCACCCCCGGGCCTTGAACCATTTGGAACCGGGCCAAGGAAGGGGTGGGCGAATGCATTTTTACCCATCCCCGCTTGCATGAACGGCGGTCGAGCGCAGGCATGAGTGATGGGCTGCCTTTGCACTATCCTCTCCTCCCCTGGGCAGCAAAGCTGAAAAAGGTTGGGAAACTCACTCAAGACTTTCAAGAAGAGATCGGATTCTGCCATTTGTCAGAAATGGTGTAGGGTCTCCTGCTTAGGCGGCCGGGGTGGGTGGTGGGTGGGGGGTTGGACTAGATGACCTACAAGGTCCCTTCCAACGCTGTTAATCTGTAAAACTGTGCAGATCGCCTCGTCCTCGTTGTGGATCGTGCCATAAACGAGAGCGATCCTTTTGGAGAACAGAAAGCGGGTCATTGGTGGCTCAGGAAAATCTCTCGTCCTGCCCTCAAAAGCACACCAGATCCGTGCGGCGCACAAGTGGGGGGGGGGGGAAACACAGAACATTTTGCACATCCCCGCTGAAGCTTCCCTACGGTTTGGAACGTCCCAGCCACCGAGCACGATGTGCTGCCAACATTAACTTTAAATCAGACTAGCACACTTCGCTAGAGCTCTGGCTTACGGCGAAGCCGGAAGGGAAGAAGTATCCATGCTGACTAGAGATAGGGAGGAGTAAAGGCCTCAAAGCCTTACTATCTGTCCCTTTCTGCCAGGGGGGTAACACAATTATTGCAGGTCATGCGTAGCGCAGGGAGGGTCACACTTCAAATATTCTATTTATGTAACTCAATGCTAATCTTTATTCGGTCAGAGACCAGGGTGTAGAATTACTGTGCAGAAATGACAGAATACAGATAATGATAATAAAATGCAAAAGAAAGGGGGGAGAGAGAGAGAACCTACGTGTATGTATGTATATATGTGTGCATGGATATGTGTGTATGTATTTGTATATGCCTGTGTCTGTCTACCTACCTACCTACTTATGTCTACCTACCTATCTACATCTGTGTCTTAGCTACCTACTTACATCGTATCTATATCTATCTACATCTGTCTTCTTACTGTGTCAGTCTGTCTTTCCATATCTGTCTGATCTATTATCTCTCATATCAATCTATTATCTCTTTCATCTATATCTGTCTATGTTATATCTGTCTATCTCTTAATTTATCTTTCATCTATATCTATATCTAATCTATTACCTGTCAATCTTTCATATCTAATATCTCTTTCATCTGTATGTTATATCTGTCTTTCTCTTAATCTATCTCTCATCTATATTTCTGATCTATTATCTGTCTCTCTTAATCTATTATCTCTCATATATATCTATTATCTCTTTCATCTATATGTTATATCTGTCTTAATCTATTTTTCATCTATATATCTAATCTATTGTCTCTCTCTCCCTCTCTTAATCTATTCTTTCTCCTCTCTCTCTCTCTCTCTCTCTCTCTCTCTCTCTCTCTCTCTCTCTC